GAGAGCTACTCAGCACCTCTTTTATTGACTATCCATACGATGGCACTGTGCTGGGGGTACTGAGCAAAAGAGAGAGGAACCCCACTCTCAAGATGCTGTTCACTGCCACGGAAGCCAGAAGGTTTTGGCCATTATAGGTGTGCATTTTCTATACCCATCTCTTTCTCCTTTCCTTCTGGCACTCCCCAAAACACGAATATTACACCTTTGGTATTTTCCTGTAAGTCTCTAACACTTTAGTCTTTGTAATCCTTTCTCTCTGTTCATGTTATATAATTTTTATTACTCGCTCTTCAAATTCCCTGGCCCCTCTGTCACCTCCATTCCACCCTGGCTCTTTCCAGAGCTTTCTGTGTTTAGTGTCAGATGCTGTATTGTTTAGTCCTAAGTTTTTTTGCGTGTCTCTCTTTTTTTTTATTCTTATGTTAATCCCCATACATTACATCATTAGTTTTAGATGTAGTGTTCCATGATTCATTGTTTGTGCATAACACCCAGTGCTCCATGCAGAATGTGCCCTCCTCAATACCCACCACCAGGCTAACCCATCCTCCCACCCCCCTCCCCTCTAGAACCCTCAGTTTGTTTTTCAGAGTCCATCGTCTCTCATGGTTCGTCTACACCTCCGATTTCCCCCGCTTCATTCTTCCCCTCCCGCTACCTTCTTCTTTTTTTTTTCTTAACATATATTGCATTATTTGTTTCAGAGGTACAGATCTGAGATTCAACAGTCTTGCACAATTCACAGCGCTTACCAGAGCACATACCCTCCCCAGTGTCTATCACCCAGTCACCCCATCCCTCCCACCCCACCCCCCACTCCAGCAACCCTCAGTTTCCTGCAATTAAGAATTCCTCATATCAGTGAGATCATATGATACATGTCTTTCTCTGTTTGACTTACTTCACTCAACATAATACCCTCCAGTTCCATCCACGTCGTTGCAAATGGCAAGATCTCATTCCTTTTGATGGCTGCATAATATTCCATTGTATATATATACCACATCTTCTTTATCCAGTCATCTGTCGATGGACATCTTGGCTCTTTCCACAGTTTGGCTATTGTGGACATTGCTGCTATAAACATCAGGGTGCACGTACCCCTTCGGATCCCTACTTTTGTATCTTTGGGGTAAATACCCAGTAGTGCAATTGCTGGATCATATGGTAGCTCTATTTTCAACTTTTTGAGGAACCTCCATACAGTTTTCCAGAGTGGCTGCACCAGCTTGCATTCCCACCAACAGTGTAGGAGGGTTCCCCTTTCTCTTGCGTGTCTCTTTTTAAAAGATTTTATTTATTTATTTGAGAGAGCACATGTGCATGCGTGTGGGAGAGGGGCAGAGGGAGAGGGAGAAGCTGACTACGCACTGAGCACAGAGCCTGATGCGGGGCTCAATCCCACGACCCCAAGATCATGACCTGAGCTGAAACCAAGAGTCAGATGCTTAACCAACTGAGCCACCCCAGGCGCCCCTTGTCTCTTTTTTAAGGTTTGTATTTCTGTTTCCATTAACCTCAAGTATGTTTACCTTCACCTGACGGACTGCAGTTATAAGAGCTGCTTTAAAGTTTTTGTCTGGTAATTCCAATGTCTGGGTCATCCTGGAATTGGCATGTGACGGTTTTTTTTTTTTTTTTTGAAAATCGGTCCTAGTTCCCGATTCTTTGTATGTTAAGTTTGGATTTATCATTGCCATTTTGAATGTTACCGTCTGTAGACTCTGGGTCCTGTCACAGTCTAGAGAATGTTGACTTTTTTATTTTAGCAGGCAGTCCGATCCTGGTAGTCTCAGACCACAGGTTCTGTCTTGTCTTCTGTGGGTGGCAGCTCCAATCATTGTGTGGTTTTCAAAGCCCCTGCTATACTGCTTTGGGTCTGTCTTGTCGCGCTCAGCTCGGGTGAACTTGAGATGTGCGCGGGCTCATGCACAGAATTAGGGTTTCCCTCCTCCTGCTGCCTTCTCTCTGGGATTCTTCCCATACACTCTTTGACCCGCACAAACCCAGAACATGAGGTTTCTTACAGAGTTTTAGTTAGCGTTCCCACTGCACCACTGTGCAGGTCTGGGACTGGTGCAAAGCCAGGAGCACAAAAGGAAAAAAAATTAGGAAACTGTCCTAACCTCTTCTGTAAGTTTTGGCTCCTCTCATGGTCACCTGTTTTTGTTTACTTTTCAGAGCCCTGGGGTAGTTCTTTTTTGTATTTTACCAGGGTTTTTCATTGTAGTCAGTAGGAGAGAGAGGCTGCTTTGGCTTACACTCACCATGCCGGAAGAACTCCCCTGGAATGTTCTTTTGATCATGGACAGTATTTTTCCACCAGCTGCTCCTAAGAGCCCTCTGCCAGTGAGTTTGGGGTGTCAGACACCTGGAAAGGTGTGGGTTCCTCAGAACTGTCTCAGGAGTTCTGGGTGCCTTAGAGAGAAATGTCATGAATCTCTTCTCCCTCTTCTGTTATAAAAGACAGAAGCTATTTCCAGCTGGCTTGAGCACGCTTGCTGGCCTCTGACCAGGAGGGCAGAAGTGTCACCAGGAATCCTTCCTTTTCAGGTTTTGGCATTGCCTCCTGGCACTGAGTTCTGTCTCAGGCAGGCCCCTCCAGGGTGGCCCACCGTGGCCTCCATCCTCCCAGTTTAGCAACCCCAGAGGAGAGAGAGCAGCTTTCCTCGATAGTTCCGGCACACATCCTAAAGCTCTCACTGGCCCAGCGAGGGTCATATGCTCATCTCTGAACCAGTCCCTGAAGCCGGGGCGTGGAATATGGCGACTGACAGCCTGCGTGCGTCATGTGCCCGGCCTCGAGCCAGATGGAGGGGGCGGGTGCTGTCAGCCCCACCTGAACCTCAGGAGCTGAGGAGACGGTGCCTGAAGTGTGTCTTCTTAACCAGGGAGCTAGCACCCCTGAGGGGTTAAAAATAGCTTCGATTATTATAATGGTTTAACAGATTGATAGTTTATCTGTGGGATTACTATTTCCTGGGGGCGGGTGATTAGGAAGAAAATGTCTGAAGGTTGAGAAAGGCTGCCCTAAGGGAAACGGAGGTGCCACCATCAGAAGGGGGCTGGCTAGCAAGCAGCAAAAGCAGCACCTCTTCGCTCCGGGCGAGTCCAAAACCGGAGCCAGCAGCAGACAGCAGTAGGCCAGTGGGGACCGCTTGTCCGAGGGGCGTGGTGGAGAGAGGGGTTGGGGGCCAGTGTCTAGAAAGCTGAACCCTGTCTTTGGTCTCCCTGACCCAGGAGTTCAGGGGTGAAGACTTCTTCTCTAGGAAATGTGAGGAGGGAGCCTGACCCTGCCACTCTCCGCTGTTTCTGGTGCAGGTGAAGAACGAGGTGGAGAAGCTCCCCAGGCAGCAGCGGAAGGAGAGCATGAAGCAGAAGATGGAGGAGCACGCACAGAAAAAGCAGCTTCTCGTGAGTCCTTGCCCCTTAGTCGGGGAGCAGAGGGGCTGGAGAGTCCCAGGTTTGAGACCCTGAATGATCAAGATCCCCCTCTGTCTATGCCCATGCCTTGCCCCTTGCATACCCATCTCTCACTCTGAATGCTGAAATCCAGCCTCTCCTTGTTAGCACCTTCCCCAGGCAGCCTTCCTTGACTGCTCTCACTCTAGCTAGAAGTGAGCTCCCCGGCTTCTGGACACCCAGCCCTTTACATCTACTACTTCCAAAGCGTTTAGTGCCTCCTGCCTTGTCTTAGGGCTGTTCGTATGTCATATCTCCTTGAATAACCCAGTACATCCACCTGCCCACTTGGCATCTTTTGGAATCTCAGATGTCAAACCCACGATCTCCCAGGCCTGGCCCTGTTCTTAGATTCTGAGGGGGCACTGTCCTCCATCCTGCGTCAGGCCAGAAGCCTTGTCATTGTCATTCCTGACACCTCCTTTCCCTCCAACCCTTTATCACCTAAAGCATGGGTTGTGGGTGTTTTTTTTTTTTTTTTTTTGGTTTTTTTAAGCTCCAAACTGTCTCTGGATCTCTTCACTTTGTCTGCATCTCTGTGACTCTCTAGCTATGTCATCTTTTGCCTGGACTGCTGCAGTAGCCTCCCAGCTAGTCTCCCTGCTTCCTCTCTTGCTCTCCTACAGTTTTCTCTCCCACCAGCCAGTGTGATCAACATGAATTCCAAATCTGATCATGTCACTCTCCCCCTATAGCCTTGTGTCTTGAAAGCCTTCAGTGGCTCCCACTTTGTCCATAAGGTAAGACCAGCCTCCTCATGTGCTTACAAGGCCCGGTGGGTCTGGTTCCAGAGAGCCTCTCCCACCTCATCTCAGTCCCCTCTGCCCCAGCCTCACCAGCCTTCTTTGTAGCCCTTGTCAGACCACGTACTCATTTTCCTCCCACGATGGAGTCTATACATTTTGCTTCCTCTGCCCCCAAATGTACCCTTAAAAATGCTTTGTATATTTTCCGGTTTAGCATTCATGGCTTACCAGGGTAGGTGCTGTTCGTTTTTCCCTTTGCAGAGGAAGAAACTAAGGCTCAGGGAGGTGACTCTCTACAGAGTTAGCAGTATGGGGCACGGCCCCAAACTCAGTCTGTCTCCAGACTTCATGTTCTCTCCAGGACACCATCATACTGTCCTACAACCTGTCGCTTGATGCTATCATCAGAAAAAGAATTCCGGGCTGGGGACGGTGGGGAAGACGGCCCCCAGCCCCACAAAGGGAGAGCAGATTGGCTCTTTAAGGAAGCCATTTTGGCAGTGGCATCAAGAGCCTCAAAAATGTGCACATTCTTGGCCTGGATTTTCTGTTTCTAGAGACTAGTCCTGAGGATAAATCATCACAGAGGTTTACAGACAGTTAGCTACCAGAGTGTGAGGAGCAGCACCACCTAAAATAGAGATAACCTGGAAACAACCTATTAGATATTGGGTGAATAAGCTAGGGTACACCTGGGCCATGAAATATTTTCAGCCATTAAAACTCATTTGATAGAAGATTACATTATGACATGGAAAGGTATTTTTAATTTTAAAAATAACAGTAAAACAGACCCAACAAAAGTTAGCATCTTAACCATTTTTAAGCATACAGTTCAGTGGTATTAAGTACATCCACACCACTGTGCCAACCATCCCCATCACCCATCTCCAGAACCCTTCATCTGGCAAAACTGAAACTACTACTGAATAAATAGTAACACCCCATGATACCCCTCCCCCAGTCTCTGGCAACCACCATTCTACTTTGTCTCCACGAATCTGACCTCCTATACATGGGATCATGCAGTATTTGTCCTTTTGTGTCTGCTTTACTTCAATTAACATGCCCTCGAGATTCACCCATGTTGTAGCATGTGTAAGAATTTCCTTCCTTTTCAGGGCCGAGTAATGTTCCACAGTGTATCTGTACTACATTTTGTTTATGCACTCTTCTGTCTGTGGATAGTTGAGTTGTTTCCCCCGTAGCTATCGTGAATAATGCTGTTACGAATATGGGTGTACAAATCTCTAAGTCCTTTTACATAAACATGTTTGTATAGATATCCCCAAACCAGTTGCTACTCCTGGGTGATAGGATTTGTGGGGATTTTTGTTTTTGCTTATGTGTTCCCTAAAGTATTTAAATTTTAATTTTTTAACTCTTTATTATTGCAAATTAAAAATACAGGCAGAAATAGGTACAACCAGAACCCCCTTATTACCTGATCTCAGGAATTATGAACTCATGTTCCCTTACTCCCCCACCCTTCTGTGTTATTTTAAATCAAATCCCACATATCCTGTCATTTCACCTGTAAATGTCTCAGTATGTATCTCTCAAAAAATCCACAATGCTACAAACGTACCTAAACCTTTAAATATTTAACAATAATTACTTATTGACATATTTGCAGTTGAATCATTAGTTACATTTCCAATTGTCTCATTAATTTTTTTCTTTTTTACAATTTGATTGAATCAGGGTCCACATAAAGTGCACTTGCCACAATTGGTTGACGTGTCTCTAAGTCTCACATTTCCCCATGTATGTCTTCTCTGCTGCTCGTGATGACTTTTCTTCTGTAGTAACAGTAGAGGGTGAGACGCCGAGGCCAGCGCTAAAGGTCTGTCCTCCTCTCTCCCACACAGGACCGGGACTTCCTGGCCAAGCAGAAGGAGGACCTGGAGCTGGCGATGAAGAAGATCACGGCTGACAACAGGCGGGAGATTTGTGACAAGGAGCGCGAGTGTCTCACTAGGAAGCAGGAACTCCTTCGAGGTGGGTGCCAGAGAGTGGGCTCTGCTAGGAACTGCTAGGTTCTTCTCCATCCTAACACCAAACAGCATCCTTCAGAGTGAAACATGGGGACAACCCCCACTGAAGTCAGGACTGAGGCACAGATACCAGTTGTCACCAACATTATTCCTGATAAGGGAGGGGAGGGATTTAGGGTGGGTAGAAATTGTAAATAAGTACACCGGGTGAACAGGCTGCCGGGAGTGGGGACAGTATTGAGCTATTGTATATCGAGCGACTGCTTTGCCAGGCCGTGTGCCAGTCTTCATGGCTCAGTCTCCTTGAATCTTCACCTTAATGCAACGAGGCATTTTTGTAGACGAGAAAACGGATGCTTGCAGAGCGACTGTGCTTTGGCTGGGGTTGCTTGGCTAATGGGTGGTAGAGTGGGCCTTGACCGCGGGTCTCCTCTTGAAGCTGAGCTCCTAACCACCCTGGTGTGGTGGGGCTCTGACAGGTTTGCACGCCGGCGGGTCCCTCACAGCACGGGACCTTCCGGAGACCCCAGTGTGGGCCACTCCCAGAGGGAGGGCAGAGGAACTCCTGGGGAGGGAGGGCTTCTGTATCTGGATGGGGTCACTCAGCAAGGGGGTCCTAGGGTAGAGCTCTGAAGGGCAGCGGGCCTTAGGGTCTTTCTATAGCCCTGGCTTTATCTCATCTCTGCCTAGCAGATGTTTGGTGCAGTTTTGTGTGGGTGTGCAAAGCAAGTGGGCTCTAAATGGCCAAAGATCTGTTGTTTGAGCTACATGTAAAACAGTTGGATGGGTGAAGATTTGAGTGTGGCACCTGTGGGCTTTTGAGCCAACGGTGCAGCCTGTCGTGAAGAGGTAAAAGACATAGGGCCAGGGTACCAGCACCGTCTCCGGCTTCCTGACACAACGAAGAACCTACAGCCAGCGCTGTGATGGCCCACACAGCTGAGCAGTGTAGACCCCTCAGTATTTGGGTGCGGGCCAGCAAAATGGGGTCCTGCATGTTCTGACGTTCTGAGGAGCCATAGATGTTTCAGGAAAGCCCGCATTTTCTTTTTTTGTCCCATGATGTCCAGAAGAACCACCCTACTTGTGGGGCAGTGGTTCTGATTTTGGTCAGGAAGCCAAATCACCGTTCCGATGTACTGTGGGTGGCTACCGGTTTTCACAGATCGGAATGCAGTGCAATAAACTGACCATTCTTAGTGGGTTGAGCACAGCCCGCTCTGTGTCTTGCAGGGCATGAGGTCTTCATCTGACACCAGCTCCCTGTGGCTGAGCAGAGGATCAGATAATAGACTTCCAGTGATAAAATGCCAGATACTTCTGTCTCAATCATGTATATATAAGGGACATGCAGTGGCCAAGGAGGTGTCCCCATTTTCCAAAGGAGGAAATAGTGACAAGAGGGCTGTCCTGTCCTCTTCATGGGGCTTCATGAGCCCTTCCCACCTGCCCATTAAGAAACACTGAACATAAACATGTCTCCCAAGAACGTTTCTCCCTCTGTGGTGTGGTTGTACCCATTTGGCAGAGGCAGGAGTGGAGGCCCGGAGAGGGTTTACCACCTGTCCCAAACCCCAGTGAATGAGCTGGGCTTCAGCCTAGGTCTCTGGTTTTTCTGGCTTCGGACTCCACTCACTTCCTGGTGTACCGCTCTCCTGGGAGCTATCATCTGATGCAGGGCAGGGCCCAGTGGGGCTCTGGCCATTAGCATCTCATTAGGCCTCCTCCTCCACAGACCGGGAGGCAGCCCTGTGGGAAATGGAGGAGCATCACCTGCAGGAGAGGCACCAACTGGTGAAGCAGCAGCTCAAAGACCAGTACTTTCTCCAGCGGCATGAGCTGGTGCGCAAGCACGAGAAGGTGAGGAGAGGGCTGCCACGAAAAGAGCTGGGTAGGGCGGTGAGGCCACGCCGTAACGGGGCGCCCCTTGAATACAAGCTGTGCTCCCAAGAGGAGCCAGGTGTTGGTCATGGTGAGGCCCGGGGAGGTTCTTGGGATGTCCTGCCTCAGGTGGGGGGGCCAGGAATAGGGGAGACCATGCAGGGCAGCAGACGGGAGCTCCCTCATTCACTCCCTAGGGTGTGTCTTTCACTTTTGTCCCTTTTCCCTCATCTTTCCATTTTCCCCTTATCTCTCTCTTTCACATGCATCCCTCAGAATGCTTTTAAGTCTCAATTTAAACACCACCTCTGCCAGGAAGCCTTCCTTAACCCCCTCAGGCCAGGCAAGGGCCAGAGCACCCTCTCCTTCTGTGTGACTGTCTGTCTTGGCTTGATCCCCTCAGTGGGCACAGAGACAGACAAGCTGAGGGGTGCATGTACAGTCAGTGGGTAATTATATCATCTAAATCTAACGCAAATATATTATCTAATCTAAACGCAATGGTGGCAGTCAGCATAGGGCTATGGTGGCTCTAATAAGGGTGCCCGCCCTGGCTAGGAAGTCAGGGGAGGCTCCTTGGAGGAGAGGATGGCCATGCCAAGTTCTGAAATACAAATAGGTGAAGGAAAAACTCAAATTTAATAAGACTTTTGACACCTGCCATCAAGAATGATGAACCGTCCCTGTTAGTGTACATTTTCCTCTGAGGTATTAGCTCTAATGGCCTGCCACCACAGATGATACGAGAAGGCATTTAGAAGGTAAAAATCCAAAACATTAACAAAAAGTAACATTTTCTGTTCTCACTTTAAAAATGAACAGTAGAAGTAAAATGGTAGCAGCCTTGCTCTGCTGAGCATTTGGGGCCACGCAGGTCCTGGGCTCCTGAGTTGAGTGTGGCAGCCCTGGGCCTCTCCTGACACCCCCCGGGGCCCAGAGCACACGTGGCCTCAGGCCCGGCTGGCCATCCCCCCCAGGAGCGGGAGCAGATGCAGCGCTACAATCAGCGCATGATGGAGCAGCTGAAGGTGCGGCAGCAGCAGGAGAAAGCACGGCTGCCCAAGATTCAGAGGAGCGAGGGCAAGACGCGCATGGCCATGTATAAGAAGAGCCTCCACATCAACGGCGCGGGCAGTGCCTCTGAGCAGCGCGAGAAGATCAAGCAGGTGGGGGCCCTGTGGGTGTGCTGCAGGTTTGGCGGGGCCTGAATCTTATATGGTTGGGGGAACAGAAAATATAAGCTGCAGCACCGGGTGTGCCAGTCACACCCTCATCAGCCCCCCCGCCCTGCTGGACAGACGAGGAAGCTTGCTCACGTTCCCTTTCGGATGTTGGTTCTCAGTCCTGCAGCTTCCTCTGCTGGTAGACCCCTTCCTCTCGTCTACCAAGACGCCCCCTGCATGTCACCCCTGTGTCTTGGGGATGTGGAGTCGGTGGCCGTTGGCCCATGTCCCAACACAGTGTTGTGTCCCCACCAGCCTGGGTCTCAGCTAAGGAGGAGGGCATAGCCTGAATGCTGTAGGGCACAACTCGGGTTGTGCACAAAGCAGCCCCTCTGACGGGTGGAGGTGGGTGCCCCGGCCAGGCCTGTGGCCCTCTGAGGCGCTCACCCTCTCTCTGTTGCAGTTCTCCCAGCAAGAGGAGAAGAGGCAGAAGTCGGAGCGGCTGCAGCAGCAGCAAAAACACGAGAACCAGATGCGGGACATGATGGCACAGTGTGAGAGCAACATGAGCGAGCTGCAGCAGTTGCAGGTACAGCCCTCCCTGCCCCCCTTCTTGGACTGCCTCAGTTTCCCTCAAGGCAGTCCACTCTCAGGGACCAAAGACTCATCAAAGATTTCCATCCTGCTGTGTAATGTTGGCCAAATCCCATCCCCTCCCAGGCTGTGAATGGGTATGGGGTGGGGGTGAGAATTCCTACTTTGTAGGACTAGAGTGAGGCTCTGTAAATGAGATAACTGACTGAAAGTGCCTTGCCTGGGGCCTGGCAGTGGCATGCTGCTGGATTTCTTGGTCATCACTGTGTCTTGGGACACGGTGTCCCAATTACCCTCCTACCAAAACTAGACATTATAAGTAAGGAAAACAACAAACCACTATCTCTCGTAAATACAGATGCACAAATCCTCAACAAAATATTAGCACGTAACAGAGCGCCCCTTGGACTCCAACAACATATAAAAAGAATCCAAGTGGGCTTTATCCCAGGCTGGTTCAACATTCAAAAATCAGTGTAATCCAGAACATCAACAAGCTAAACAAGAACATGATCACATCAACAGATGCAAAAAAGCATTTGACAAAACCCAACACTCAATCATGATAACACTTTTAGTAAACTAGGAACAGAGGGGAACTTCCTCAACTTGACAAAGAACACCCACAAAAACCTACAGCTAATATCATCCTTAATGGCAAGAGGCTCAAAGCTTTCCCACGGAGATCAGGGAAGGATATCCTGATCTTGGTGTCCCTTTTCCCCAGGGAGATCCTGACCTCTTCAAGATTCCTGACTCCTGAGCTTGCCCCATGCCTGAGGGGTGCCACCCCATGAGCTGGTACTTGGAGCCCCCTTGTGGTGGAGCAAGGCATTGCCATACCTGAGGGATGGGCTGACTCAAACCTCTGATTTCAGGAAATTGGTCAGGCTATTGGATCCATTTGGCAATTTCTGGAGAGGCAGAGAGGTGTGGAGAAAACATGACAGGCGCTGAAGCCTGTCAGGTAGGGACTCTGCCATTTGTCGCTGTGTGAATTTTAGCCAGCCCCCTCACCTTCTGCATCTGTTTTCCCATCCCTGCCTCATGGAGTTACTGGGAGCATTAATAAAGTCCCAGGGGCCCAGCTCCTGGCAGGTCAAAGGTACTCCACGCTGCTAGGAGTATTGTTTCTAACTAAACCAATTTCTAAACTCTCAGAAGCCCAAAATGAAAATCCCCCAATGGGTTTCACTCTTCCAACCCAATAGGTTGAGGCATCTGGATGAAGGGACTTGCCCCTTGCTTTATATTCTCTGTGAGGAATCAACAGGGACTTGTCCCTTTTGCCTATGAGAAATTCTAAGTAACTTTTGTGAGATGGATAACTTACCTCAGAGAGAGAACGGTAATGTTGGGAGTGTCTCAGGTCCATGTCCTCATCCTTACTACAAATTTCTCCTGAAGAAATGACATACGATACAGAAAATTACATATATAGTGAATCCTAACTCTGGCTGCCATAACGAAATACCAGTCTAGGTGGCCTAAACGACAGTTTATTTTCTCACAGTTTTGGAGTTTTGGAGCCTGGAAGTCTAAGATCAGCTTACCAGTGCGGTTGGGTTCTGATGAAGCCTCTCTTCCTGGCCTGCAGATGTCTGCCTTCTTGCTCTGTCCTCACATGGCAGAGAGAAAGAGAAAGCAACCCCTCTAGTGTCTCTTCTAAGTACACTAATCCCATCATGAGGGCCCCACCCCTAGGACCTCAACTAAACTTAATTTTTTCCTAAAGGTCCCCCCTCCAAATACCATCATATTGGGGATTAGGGCTTCAACATACGAATTTTGGGGAGACACAGTTCAGTCCAAAGCATGAATACAATGCTATTTAAAATAGTGAAAATTAAGAGCAACCTAAGTGACCAGACATAGGGGAATGTTTAAGTAAATTTGATGAATCCACACTGTGGGATATTCTGTAGGCATTAAAAATGATTATGAAAAATGTTAATTCTGTGTAGAAATGTTACATTATAATGTTAAGGGTTGGGGGAAGCAGGTTTCAGAAATGTATATACAGGGTGAGCTAAACAAACAACATCTAAACTTTTGCAGTGGTTTGCCTCTAGTGGTGGGATTAGGGGACTTTTTATTTTTTGTTAATGTTTTATAGTTTTGTTAAAGTGACATATACGTTCATGTTGAAAAATTCAAACAATGCAAAAAAGCACAAAGAAGAGAGCTGCAAATTACTGCAGATCCCATCACATAATAAGAACTGTTAACATGAATATTCTGAAATATTCCTCCAGGCATATCTTGGGATCTATGTACTTACAGAGTTTCATATAAATTATAATCAAGGAGAAGAAATAAATGAATGTAATGCTGGTGCTGTCACGACTACAGCACGAGGTACGTTTCAGCCCTCTCCACCTCTGCCTTCTGAGTTTCTTACCTGTTCTGCCTGGAATTTGTTCCAGAATGAAAAGTGTCACCTCCTGGTAGAACATGAAACCCAGAAGCTGAAGGCTCTAGATGAGAGCCATAACCAGAACCTGAAGGAATGGCGGGACAAGCTTCGGCCACGCAAAAAGGTAACCATGTCTGGGCTTGTGGGCTTGGTGGTACTCTTCATGCTGAGCCACAGGTGTCTGCCTATGATGTGAATATAGATATAAATAAGATATGGATTTATACATTTACTTTAAGAAACTGGCTCATATGATTGTGGATAGCTGCTAAGTCTGAAATCTGCAGGGCAGGTTACAGGTTGGAGACCCAGGGAAGAGTTGAGGTTGCAGTTTTGAGTCCCAGGGCAGTCTGGAGGCAGAATTCCTTTTTCCTTAGGGGAACCTCAGTCTTGAGGCCTTCAACTAGTTGGACGAGGCTCACCCACATTAGGGAGGGTAATCTACTTTACTCAGAGTCTACTGAGTTAAATATTAATCACATCTAAAAGTTCCTTCCCAATGACATCTCTATGGGTATTTGACCAAACAACTGGGCACCATGTCTTGCGAGGTTGACACGTAAAATTAACCATCACAGGTCCTCAGTGCAGTCAGTTGTAAAGTGGATGTGAATATTGTATAGTGTGATGCAAAAAGTCATTAGCCAGCCCACAGAACAGACCAAGGACATACTCCTTTCCTTCCACTCCTAAACTCTCTGAGGAGAGAGCTTACCCCCTAATTGCCCTTGATCAGGTATCCTGAAGCCCTGAGGTTGGTTCTGCCATCATACATCAGCTCTGCTTGTTCTGGACAAGAGGCAGCTGCCCACCTCAGCTGTCTGATGGCCTCGGAAGTCCTTGAAGTGAGACTTCCGCACCTGTGCTAATGGAGCTTTTTGTCTGGAAGTGGCCACGGTCCCAGACCTTCCTCTTAGCAGGCCCATGTTTATCATTTTCTCTATCACTGCCTGTTGGGACTTTTGATACTTGACACTCAAATCAATAATGCTCCTGCTGACATAGGTTGACTCTGGTATCAGGAAATAAATGTTCACCTGGTTCTCTTACATGGGTGTTCTATATCCTTGGCACATCCTGAAAATGAATGATCACGTTGCCTCTAGCAACTGCCTCATTATTTCCAGGGCACCTGGATTTAGAGGAGGTACCACAGTGTATGTCTGGGGAGCTGCATTGGATTTTGCCTGTGGGGCTGCTATTATGCAGCTTTTTTTTTTTTTTTTTTTAGGATTTTATTTATTTGAGAGACAGAGGGAGACTACAAGCAGGGGGGAGGGGCAGAGGGAGAAGCAAACTCCCCGCTGAACAAGGAGCCTGATGCAGGACTTGATCCCAGGACTCTGGGATCATGACCTGAGCCAAAGGTAGACACTTAACCAACTGAGCCACCCAGGCGTCCTTTTTTGCAGAACTCTACGTAGAACCGTCTGTCATTAGCTATCTGGGTTACTGTTGGAACACTGAACCAGAAGTGATATTACTCTTGCATTATAATCTACAGTCTTGAGCTATACAGGGGCAGGGGAGATGACTGTACACTATAGAATAGTTTTAGAAAAATTCAGACTTCTTTCTTCCAAGTAAGTACAGAATATCTGGTAGCGGCAATAAAGTGGTGCTTGGGTGACAGTTAACACAGAATATGGCCTCAGACGAGTCTTCCCTTTCAACCTCGCTTTTTAGGGCTATAAAATGTAGATAACATTTCTTCCCTTAAAGCAAGTGTTAGTAAACTATTGTCCATGGGCCAAATCTGGCCTACCATCTATATTTGTAAATAAAGTTTTATTGGAACACAGCCAAGCTCATTTGTTTACATATTGTCGCTGGCTGATTTTGCACTACCACAGCAGTTGACTAGTTGTGACAGAGACCTCACAGCCTGCAAAGTTGAAAATATTTATAATCTGGCCCTTTACAGAAAAAAGATTACAGACTCATATAGATGACTATATGTGGTAGGTATGAGAGAGTAGTGCTTCAGAGCACAGGCTTTGGAGTAAGACAGGCATGCAATAAAGTCCTGACTCCCCTATTACTAGCTGTGAAATCCTGGGCAAGTTGCTAAACGTCTCTGCTCTGAAAGTGGTGGCTATGATAATTAAATTGTTATTCCTATAGCAGAGGTCACAAACTGAAATTGGCTTACAGGTGTTAGGTTTGGCCAACATATAGAAATCTCAACATTTTTTTGAAAGTTGCCAACCTTGGGGCGCCTGGGTGGCTCAGTCGGTTGACCAAGCCTTCAGCTTGGGTCATGATCCCAGGGTCCTGGGATTGAGCCCCACATCGGGCTCTTTGCTCAGTGGAAGCCTGCTTCTCCCTCTACCTGCCGTTCCCCCTGCTTATGCACTTTCTCTCAGATAAATAAAATCTAAAAGAAAAAAAAAAGTTGCCAACCTTTAAATTAAGTACAGGCATACCTGTTTTATTGTACTTCACAGACAATTGTGTTCCCCCCCCCAAACTAATGGTTTGTGGCAACCCCATGGTGAGTATATATATATATGTGTCATTTTTCCAATAGCATTTGCTTACTTCATGTCTCTGTGTCAGATTTTGGTAATTCTTGCAATATTTTAAACTTTTCATTATTATTTGTTACGGTGATCAGTGATCTTTGATGTTACTATCATAACTGTTTTGGGGTACCATGAAACTTGACCACAAAAGATGGTGAACTTCAAAACAAGTCTCAATAAATTTAAGAAGACTGAAATCATATCATGCATCTTTTCCAACCACAACAGTATGAGACTGGAAATAAATGAAAACACAATGATTCAAAATCTTTGGGACAGTTTATAGTGATACTGGCTTATCTCAAGAAACAAGAAAAAAATCTCACATAAATAATCTAACCTTATGCCTAAAGGAGCTAGAAAAGAACAAAGCCTAAGGTTAATAGAAGATAGGAAATAAAGATTAGAGCTTCAAATGAAATTGAGACTAACAAACCAATAGAAAAAAAAAAATCAATGAATACCAAGAGCCACTTCTCTGAAGAGTTAAACAGAATGGATAAACCTAGTCTATCAAGAAAAAAAGAGAAAGGACTCAAATAAAATCAGAAATGAAAGAGAACATCCAACACAACAGAAATATAAAGGATTATAAAGAATACTACAAAACATTATATGCCAACAAATTGGACAACCTAGAAGAAATGGATAAATTCCTAGAAACAATCTTCTAAAACTGAATCAGGAAGAAATAGAAAATCTGAACAGACCAATTATTAGGAATGAAATGAAATTGGTAATCAAAAAACTACCAGCAACAACAAAAAAGCCTAGGGCCAGATGGATTCACAGTGAATTCTACCAAACATTTAAAGAAGAGATTATTTTCCTCAATCTATTCCAAAAATAGAAGAGCAAAGAAAGCTTCCAAGTACACTACACTCTAGGAGGCCAGAATTAATCCTGATACTAAAACCAAAGACACTAAAAAAGAGAAAACCACAGGCCATATCCCTGATGAACAAAGTGCCAAAATTCTGAACAAAGTATTCGCAAACCACATTCAACAAGGATCATTTACCATCATCAAGTAGGATTTTTTTCTGGGGATGCAAGATCAGTCAATATGATACATACCAACAAAATGAAGGATAAAAGTCATATCATCTCAGTAGATGCAGAAAAAGCTTTAACAAAATCCAGCATCTGTTGGTGATAAACACTCTCAATAGAGTGGGTTTAGAGGGAACATACAACATAATAAAGGTCATATGTGAAAAACCCACAGCAAACATAACTCAATGGTAAAATACTGAGAACTTTTCCTCTAAGATCAGGAATAAGACAAGGAGAGTGTGCCCACTCTCACAACTTTTATTCAGCATAGTAGTGAGAATCCTAGCCACAGCAATGGGCTAAAAAAAAGATTAAATACTTCCTTACCAATTTGGATGCCTTTTAACTGTTACTATTTGCAGATGATGTAATACTATACATAGAAAACCCTAAAGACGCCACCAAAAAAAAAAAAAACTATATTAGAAGTACTAAATTCAGTAAAGCTGCAGGACATAAAATTAATACACAGAAATTGGTGGTATTTCTATATACTAATAACACAGTAGCAATAAAGATAAATTAAGAAAGCAATCCCATTTATAACTGCACCAAAAAGAATAAAATACCTAGGAGTCAACCAAACTATAAGACATTGATGAAAGAAACTGAAGATGGGGCACCTGGGTGGCTCAGTCGTTAAGCGTCTGCCTTCGGCTCAGGTCATGATCCCGGGGTCCTAGGATCGAGCCCTGCATCGGGCTCCCTGCTCTGCAGGAAGCCTGCTTCTCCCTCTCCCGCTCCCCCTGCTTGTGTTCCTGCTCTCACTGTGTCTCTCTCTGTCAAATAAGTAAAATCTTAAAAAAAAAAAAAAAAAGAAATTGAAGATGACAAAAACAAATGGCTGAAAGAATTAACACTGTTAAAATGTCCATATGCTCAAAGCAATCTACAGATTCAATGCAGTCCTATCAAAATACCAACAGTATTTTTCACAGAACTAGAATAATACTAAAATTTGTATGGAACCACAAAAGACCCCAAATAGTGAAGGAAATCTTGAAAAATAACAAAGCTGGAGGTATCAGGATCTCAGATTTCAACATACACTACAAAGCTGGAATAACCAAAACAGTATGGTACTGACACAAAAATAGACACAAATCAGTGGAACATAATAGAGCCCAGAAATAATCCCACACTTATATGGTCAATTAATCTATGACAAAGGAGGCAAGAATATACAATGGGGAAAAAAAAACTGGACAGCCATACAAAAGAATGAAAATGAACCACTTTCTTACACTACACATAAAAATAAACTCAAAATGGATTAAAGACCTAAATGTGAGACCTGAAATCAAAAATCCTAGAAGACAGCATAGGCAGTAATTTTTCTAACATAGGCTGTAGTAGTATTTTTTTCTAGGCATGTCTCCTAAGGCAAGGGAAACAAAAGCAAAAATAAACTATTGGGACTACCCCAAACTAAAAACCTTTTTGCATAGCAAAGGAAACCATCAACAAAATGAAAAAGCAACCTACTGAATGGGAAAAGATATTTGCAAATGATATGTCTGATAAGGGGTTAATATCCAAAATACATAAAGAACTTAAACAACTAACCACCAAAAAACCTCCCAATGGGTAGAGGACATGAATAGACATTTTTCCAAAGACAGACATTTGACCAACAGATACATGAAAAGATGTTCAACATCACTAATCATCAGGGAAATGCAAATCAAAACCACAAGCAGGTATCACCTTGCACCTGTCAGAATGGCTCATATTAAAAAGACAAGAAATAACAAGTATTGACATGGATGTCGAGAAAAAGGAACTTTTGTGCACTGTTGGTGGAAATGTAAGTTGGTGCAGCCACTGTGGGAAACAGTATGGAAGTTCCTCAAAAAATTAGAAATAGCATATGCTCCAGTAATTCCACTATTGGGTATTTAGAAAACAAAACAAAAACATTAATTTGAAAAGATACATGCACCCCTATATTTATTGCAGCATTATTTACAATAGTCAAGATAGGGAAGTAACCCAAGTGTCCATCAATCGATGAATGCATAAAGAAGACGTGATACACACACACACACACACACACACACACACACAC